AATAGTGTCTCATTTTATCTTTTTGGGAAATCTCATACCAAATTTGGTAAAGTTTGTGTGACTCTAAATTATTTTTACTTTATTCTTACTTTATCAATTAATATTAATCACATAAACCCAGTTTTCTTAATAACCATGTCATCCCATTTCGTCCCAATATTAGTGGGATGGAGGTAGTACTTACAACGACCATCATCACCAATAATCGATGAGATCGTTGAACCTGAATTTTTGTCCCAAAACATAAGAAAGGGAGTACATAAGCTCGTGAGACTCCTCGTCTGAACTCATTAATTTTTTGTCCTTTTGATTTGCATTCCATGTTTTTTATAAGTGTCATTCATGTCAACCAATATACCCATAGGAGCATATGGTTTTCTAGATGTAGACACAAATATGTGTTTTATACGTTTTGCAATGGTATTAGGTGTGGTTTGATGATGACATTGTTTAAAATCAACGAAAGAAATCAACGAAAGAGAAATGGTTAGAATCAAACCTGGAAACAAGAACACAAAATGTGAGATAATTGTAGACATTAAATAGTCCTTAAAAAACTTATTATTTTTCCATAAAAGAATTAACTTTTTTTAATTTTTAAGATTTTTTAAACCAATAAAACAACAATTTCAAATTATATTATAACAAATAACAAATGTCATTATATATTTTAGTAGGATCAAAATTATATTTTGGAATATTACGAGAACGTTTTAAATGCTTAATAAGTATTATCATTAGTTGATATTATGAACAATAACTACGACGTACATTTTATTATAATTTCGTATATAATTGTATGTTTATTATTACTAGGTATTATATAGTCATATATTTGATGACCAGTTTTCCGGGGTTGACCCACTGGGTCTTGGTTGATCTGTGACTCGATCATGTAGCTGAGTCGCTTCTCGGTCCTGTTTTTTAAACATAGGTCAGAGCCACAAAAAGGAAGTAAATGAATTTTAGAACATAACACGCGACTTCTAAAAACAAAGCATGTACCTTCTAATTTGTGACATCTGACTTCCAGAAAGCATAACTGCACGAATAAGCCAGATGCAACTATCATCAACACAAACAACATGCAATACTTTGGAGTTTGACGTATTCGTGAAAATGATTTGTAACTGCATACATATTTAAATGGTAATGTTAAGCTTTTTAATTCTTGTATATAAGTGTCTGATTATATATGAGTAGGATGGAAAGGAGAAAGAACTTCAAAATCAAGAAAAACACATAAAAAATTCTAAGGACAAAGTTGAAAAAGTGTTACTATGAATGATTAAATTATGTTCTGAATCGTTAAAATGGTACCCTGAATAAGAAACTACAATGCAAGATGAATGCATCTTCTAAGTTCATCGAATCAACACGTAAAGGACACAAATGCGTAAAACCAGCAAAATTAATGAAGTCATTTTGCTTCATTAATTTTGCGTAAAACCAGCAAAAAAAAAATTAATGAAGTCATTTTGTTTGTGCATGAGTGAGTTCGTTGTAGCAACATTGAGATCAATTTGAATAAATGTGACAGACATATCTTTTTGTTGGTCACATTCATCAATGCAGGATTGACAAAAACATTAATATCAATTACAGAATATTCAGCATATGTATGGTGATTGATGCAAAGAGGGACAATAAATAATTTAACATACAAAGAAAACATAGCATAATTGGGGTGAACTCTTTTCAGAGCTAGTAAAATTCCAAGCTGAAAGGAGCATTAAAAAGCGTACAAGGTAGACATGGATCTACAAGGTAAGAATTCTTAATCCTTGTATTCTTCACAGATTCATCAATGCATGCATAAACCATGAAAGTAAAGTGAACATACAACGTCCACTCAGGTACTATTAACCCAAAGCTTCATTTGTTGAAAGAACAATTTGAGGTGTCCCAATTACCATTCACCTTAAGCATAATCGACATATGTATAGCAACTGTAATTACATATAAAAAGAGAGAAGATGAAGCATAATATTAGATAAATATGGATAAAAATGTCTAGTTAACAAGCAAATCAACATTAAATATGATTACAAACTCAAAACAAAAATATGTATGATAGACAATTCAAAAGCATAAACATGACTAAAGGGCAATGTGATTGACAATATATAGAGAATTCATGAAACACTAAATAAAACAGGAACACATCTGCATAACTACATTAACATGCACATAATACGATCCGATAAAAAACAAGATTAATCTATAGGCCTAAAGCTTACAATTAATCATTAAAAGAGCACATGCAGAGTAACCACCAAACAAGACGATTATAGAACAAATATGAACTGAGAAAAAGAAGAAATCTATGTAGAAAAGTAAAAACAGAGGAGAAAAAAAGTTTGAAGGTTAGAATGAGAATTGAAACTGATGACAAAACTGATAAATAAAATAGTATAAACAGCTTTCCCTTATATCAAACTGTAACAATGCTTTAAATAAGTCGCCAATGAAGGATTAATGAGCATATAAAGACGGATAGAACCGGAAATCGTGAGTTATGGATCAAAGACTAGAACCGTGAGGTGTGGATCAAAGACTAGAATCGTGAGATGTGAGCTCGGATCAGGGGCGGATCCAGGATTTCATGTTGGATTGGGCTGAAAAACTTAATTGATAATACATTAAAAATTTTCAAAATAAGCAAACAAAAAAATATATAAGAGTTCTCCACTAAATTTGTTCTCGACGAAGCTTTGAAACAAAAAAACTCGTCAATTATAGAGTTTACATCTATACTAAGAGTATGACCTTTTTCAATATAAAGTGTATTGCAATTAACAAAAAAGTCATCATCCATTTTGTCGCGGAGTGTTGTCTTTAAAAGTTTCACGGCAGAAAATGATCATTTTATTGTTGTAGTGAAAACAATAAGATCAATACAAAGCGAATCAATATGCTGATCATAACATATGAAACAGATCTTTTGCTCTTAGTCAACTGCTCACATAATTCAACAAGTGTAGATACTCGAAACTTTGTATCATGAATCACATCATGAGCATAGTGTTGTCGCTCGAATTCAAAAGCATTACTAAAACCTTCGGGATAGAACTTCCTTGCAAGAGATTACAAATAGCATCGGCATTGAATGACACATATGAACTTTCAGGATCCAATGAAGCACTCAAAGAAAGGAGTTTGATCCATTGATTTATCATTAAACCGAGTCCTTAACTTCAACAATACAGAGTCTATTGCCTCATTGAAAACATCAAAGTGATAATGAGTACTCAACTATAGTTTCTTTTCGGCAATGACCAACCATATATTTAGAATTCAATTTCGGTACAAGAATTTCTTTTTTGAGCAAAACTCCTTTGCTTCTTCAAGAAAGCCTTCACATCCATTTTATGTCACTTCCCTGAGAATGAGTTGCGTAGTAGAAACATGTTTCATTGCTATCAAGATATCCAATAATTGTTTGAAGGTCTTGACAAAGAATACTCGTTATAACAAAAGTGAATTGAACACAAATTCAAAACATGGAAAGTGTCTATATACACTATGAACTTCTGCCCAAGAACTCACTTTTGGACAATGTTCTTGAATATACTCAAACACTTTACAAGTTGATGTGAATCATATTTGAATCATATTTTATTGTATTTATTACATTTATTCCTTTTGGGCTTTACGGCCCTTATACGATGTACAAAAGTGCCTCTTGTTAAGTGGGAGGTAATTCGTATAACATTTAGATTAGATTTTTAGATGAAATGATTTTGTTTTATGGGTTGGGCTGAAAAATTGGATTGGGCTATAGAAAAATTTGGGCTGGGCCGGATAGAATTTTGTGGAAATAATACCTTAAAAAAATTAATTTTTTTTACTTTGCCCTGGGCTTCAGCCCACCATAGCCCTAACATAGATCCTCCCCTGGCTCGGATCTTTACAAAGACCTAGAACCAGGGAAGAAAAATGGAAGAGATGGTCGTTGTGGAAGTTATTTTTTATGATTAATAATTAATATGCCATACTAATGGGAGGGTAAAAACGGAAACTAAAAATAAAATTTTCTAAAACGGAATTAAATAAATAGCATGCATGGAAAAACATCCAATTTTTATAAACTTCGAATAAACAAATACCTCGTTTAATTACAACTGACGTATAAATTTTAAAGAAACATTCACCGCTCGATTATTAACCTAATTTGTAATCGATAAAGCAGAAAGCTGGAATTTTATTTCTTTAAATACAATAATGAATAATCGATCTTGTTTAGGTCACAAGGGACTCGTTTAATTATAGCAGTAATTGATTGCATTAGGAGGGGGTGTTTGAATTTATTCCTTAAAACTAATTATCCTTCTTCAGAAATATTTTTGGGTGTTCTAAATTGCTCTTAGAAACAGTTTTTAGGAGATGAGAGAAATAGGCTTTTGTAAAATTGATTCTAATCCTGCTTTTGTTTTTAAAAAGAAAGTAGAAACATTCCAAATGTACAAAGTACTTTTCAAACAATTCAAGCTCACGAATCGACCTATGAAAAAGTCACTTTTACCAAATTTTTGTGCACATTTGATAGACACAAATCTCCGCCTTAACTTTTAGGGAAAGTTCCCGAAATAGGACTAAACTAGTTTGAAAATTCCAAAATAGAATTGTCTTGTTTTTTATTCCCGAAATAGGAGTAATTACTGTCAAGTTTGGAAAATACTGCCATGTTGGAAGTCTGGTACTGCCAAAACATGGCAGTAATTAGTCATATTTTAGGAATAAAAACACGACAGTCCTATTTTAGAATTTTCAAACTTTTTATTACTATTTCGGGTAATAATGTAATATTCTCTAACTTTTAAACTCTAAACACCTTTGGTAATATATTTAATACAACAATAATTAGGAGCTCTCTTATAATTAAAGGATCTTTTTGAGAAGTATCGAGTAGCTTCAAAAAAAAGTCTGTTACTTTTAACAGCTTATTCCAAACCAAAACTAAATCAAAAGTCAATTTTTATCAAACCACTACAATCGTTTTCTTTTAAATCTTTTTAGTTACCAAGAACTAAAAAAAGTCACAAAAGCTTCTTTTCAATTAGTTATACCAACAAATGAGAAGAAAACACAAAAACAAAAAAAAAATGCGGCAGGCCAAATAGTGGAAGACCAAGAGCTAAAACAGACGAGAAGAAAACATCCAACACATTTGGGCTAGTAGAGTTCAACAAAACTAGCATATAAGCTTAACTCACTAGAAAAACACTAGTTCTAACAAAACACAAGCCACAACTTTTAATAACGCCCCACCAGAATAAAATCATCATCATCCAGAACACGAACATCTTTCTCTCCTACAAAGTTTTCCCGCCCAATATCCATCACAATCTTCACGAACTCCTCTCTTTTCCCCCTGGGAAGTGGAACATAGGGAAGTCGGAATACGGCCCTAGCCACCCCAAGCTGTGCCATAGCTGTGTTTAAGCCGATCGGGTTCGGTTCTTGAAAAAGCCATTTAATCAAAGGAAGCAGCTTTGCGTTCAGTTTTGGGTTCTTTCCCCCAAACATAAGTTCCCTCATCAGGCCTGGAACCAAGTTGCTAGCAACCGAAATGACACCTGTCGCCCCATGGGCCCACCTTGAGTCGTGGCATTCATCATCGTTTCCACTCCAAACAGCAATCCCACAACTTGTGTACTGCTCCACCCGATCATTCCCAACACACTCTTTCACACCTGCCAGTAGCAATGCAAATCAATCAAGCCATGAGTGAATTGCTGGTCAACAAATGCTCGAACCGAGTTTGGTCAAATTCAAACTTGAACTGAGCAAGAGCCAGCTCATTAAGCAACCGAGCAGATCCTGAACTTTATTATATTTTGCCAGGAACCATTACATGTTACATAGTATATTATATAAAAATATATAGGATATTAATAATTTTAACTACTACGTATGTAGTATATATGCAAAATATTTTTGCCTCAAGCACGAACACCATATCTGAGCTAAATTCAAGTCATTTAAGGATTTTAAGCCAAACTTGAGCCAAGATGACAAGCTCATTCGAACTCGAGCCCCTAGAATTTTCTCTAGCTCAAACTTGAGCTAACCCAGATTTGAGCTCGTAATGTATGCAGTATGCACCCTTACCTGCCAAATTAGGGCTCTTCGCCACCTCATGAATCACACCCGGCGGAATGTCTTGGCCGGTTCTTGATGGCACATTGTAGATGATTGTGGGTCCCATTGGGAGAATGCTGTTGAAGTGAGCAACCATTCCCTCTAAGGAAGTCTTTCCATAATAGGGATTGATGTGAAGAGCCCCATGCATCCCTACGGCGAAGCCTTGCTCAGTCGCGTGGATTGCTTCCCTGGTTGAGTTGCTTCCTGTGTTGCCTATGACTTTGATGGACCCACCAAAGCAGTTGACAGTATGGCCAATGAGCATGATGTGTTCGTCCCAGCTCATTAGTTGACCTTCACCAGTTGTACCACCGACAATTACCCCTTCAACGCCTCTCTCAATCTGCATGTTCACTAAGGCATCATAGGCCTCAAGATCAAATCTGCCATCAGGTAGGTACGGAGTTTTTATTGCAGTGACCAATCTAAGTGCTTTGATATCCTCGGCATATGTCCTACAAAAAGAGAGGCAATGAAAATCAATGAAGAAACAATAAACGCCTCTATTTCTAAACGTAAAACTGTAAAAGTGCAGTAAGATTTAGAAATTTAACCCGAAGATACGCAGTGATCATTAACTTCGATTATATTTTGTTAAACTAGGAGGTATTTACCCTTTTAAAGGGGAAATACAAATGACCTCTCAAAGGATATCATTAAATAAATAGGCCATTGCCAAATCGAAATTCATAAAATAATAAAAAAATATTCAATAATAATAACAAAATTAAAAAATAAACTTAAATCTACTACAGTATATTTTAAGGAGTTCACCGTCACTCTATATGAAGAAAAACTGACAGAGATGAACGGTGCTAGCACAAGGGTATTAGGAAGTGTTTGGGTTTGCTTGTAGTTTTGAGAAGTAACTTAATTTAGAGATTATATAGAAAGTGTTTAACAATAAAAGTTGGTAATGTTTCGAAATAAAAAAAGTGACTATAAAATGTAGTACTCCGTAGTAGTTTAAGCAGTTTTAAGATTCCTCACTCTCTATTAACTTTTATCTTTAAAGTGCTTAAAGTTGAGCAAAAGTAGCAACTTAAAAACACTAAATTTAGCTTTTAAAGAAGAGGCATAAAAATGCTTTTGAAGAAATAGCCCTTGGAGCAAGAAGAAAAACAAGTTCTGTCCCAAAATGCTCTTCCGGCTTCTCCTTTTGCGAATTTGGGCTGAAATAACTGGGTGGCTCATATGTATTCTTCATTTCTATATCCATCATAAGTCATAACCACACAATTTCACGGACAACAAACTAGTGTAAAAAGAAAAGGTTAGATAAATGATATTGTGCATATTTGGCCGACAGTAGTTGCTTTGTCGCCTATTGATCGACTAATTCTTAAGTGAATCAACAAATTGTCCATGTAGATAGAAAACGCAAAAGCCAAAGTCTAGGTCTACAATCATTGAGCAGAAGAGTGATAATAAAATATGGTACTTAACTAGTTAAGCATTTCCCAGATCAACCAGGAAGAATAGATAAAAAGAACGTGATTTTTTCCAATTGGTTACTTATATGGTTTAAAATAAATAGGATAGAAAAGGAGTTCACATACAGATAGGAAAAATACAAAAAATGAAATTAAGCACTTAACATACAAAATTGTAATGAACTAAAAACTTAATGTGAAGAAATTATACAGAGTATGAGACAATGTACCTATTCTTAACCTCATTACTCCGCATAGGAAGATGAAGATTGGGAGATAGTGCAGCTCTAGGAGACCTCCACCTAGGAGTTTTCCTGGGCAAAAAACATGAATAGTCAATAATCTTTATAGTTGCAAGGAAGGAGCACTCCAAATGATCAGCAAAATTTGATAACAAATTTACTTGTCCTGAACACACTTTAATACTCCGTATAATGATAGAAGCTAAAGGACATGCATATACTAACAAAGACCACAGGTCTTGCTAAGAGCCTAAGAATTGTGTATAAACTACAAACATAAGAAAATACGTAATCAATTTAATTATTTAATCTTAGCACAATCCAATCATCACAAGAAAAACAGATTTTTACGTCAAATTTCAGTTCAGGTAGCACAAAAGGGAAGTCAAAATCTCAATAATGAGACAACAAAATTACAGTATGAAAGGTACGGGGTTTCTGTAACCAAGTAAGAGAAGAGGGAAAGAAAACGAAATAATTGAAAAACTGACTTGCAGCGAAATGGAGAATCGTAGACCAAAGGATTACCTGATGAGTGAACAGTGGTCGCAACCCTTAGTGGAGAAGAGAAGAGTTGTTGCCATTCTGAAAGAAAGACTTCAAATGACGAGCGAGTGCGGCGGTGCTCCGTTGCGTGAGGGTAGAGGTGATGGCCGCGGACGGAGGAGAAAAAGGGATTTACCGATTTAGAATTTCCGTGGGGTTACGATGAGTTGTGGGCTAACATGGAAACGGGTGCATAAACCAAATATGATAAAAATTCGTTTTTTTGGAAGAATTCGGCTTAGATAGATAACAGATAATTCAGAGTATGAGTCAAATGTAAAAAATAAATCTAATAACCGTTATCCGGCGAACTAAACTCGGAATTAATCATCGTAGCAATATAATTCGTTGATCCATAAATGGGAAACCAAAAGCTAAAAAACGTTCACCATATTCCTCTCATCCCCTATATCCAAAATCATCGTCTTACAAACTGGAAAATAAACGAAAAAACACAAACCAAAACAGAAATAACAATTACTGAAATAGCAAATAAAACAAAATAAAAAACACTTCCGTCGCAACTAGAAAACTCGAATCATCCCTCCAACATGCGGCCTCCGAACTTCAGTCAGCAGTTTCGGCGGGCTTAAGAAGCAAAATCCGCCTCCTCAACGTTTTTTGCCCATCCAGAGCCATGGTGTCCTCCACTTGCTCCTTCTCTGTCTGAGTCTTACAGATCTTCCTTCTCTTAGATACCTCTTCTAAACTATTTTTCCTTCTGATTTAGATGCTCTTGTATCGCCACCCGTTTTGCTAGAGCTCGATGAACCCTCCAAGAGCCACTTATTACCTCCTGTTGGGCTCGTTTTCACCCCGCTCCCCGCTCTAAGATGAATTCCAAACCTTTTTTCTAAAACTAAGCCTTCTTCATAGTTTAAGGGATAGAAATTATCTGAGTGTCCAATAAGGCCACAGATGAAGCAAAAATTGGGTAGCCTTTCATATTTAAAATTTACCCAAAACTCTTACATTCTTTTTTCAGATTTGTCCCCTTCTTCAGTGATTTATCCATCTTCAAAAGAACTCTAACCCTTATATATGGCTCTAATTTATCACTCTTCTGGTTATCATCATATTTAATAGGGAAAATTAATAAAAATATCCCAAACTTTGAAGGGGTGTGAGTTAAACACCCCAAACTTGCATATGTAATATAAATACCCTAAACTTTAAATAGAAAGTTATTTTTGCACCATTGTCATGTATTATTTCTTTCAAAAATGTAAATTTATGGGGTTAGTTGCCTAATTTAAAATAGAAAATTGAAAGTGTTGCAATTATATAGATTGGGGGTAACATTTTTTATTTTATAATGGAGGTTTAGAATGATAACTTTGTCTTCATGAATTCTAAAATAATTTCAATCATGCAATTAACACCATAAATTTACATTTTTGAAAGAAATAGTACTTGACATGGTGCTAAAATAACTTTTTATATAAAATTTGGGGTATTTAAATTACATATGCAAGTTTGGGGTGTTCATCTCACACCCCTTCAAAGTTTGGAGTATTTTATTTATTTTACCCTATTTAATAAATCCCCCTATGAAAATTCCCACACGTCTGGCAGTGCCCATATTAACGAGACTGTAGGGAACATTATGAATCTGAACCCAAAACTCAGTCTTGTTTAAGATAATTTTGTGTGGAATATCATCAGGCATAACTTCTTTTAACATTAACCAACTACGTTCAAACTGCCAAGGATCTCCTTCAAGCACACGCTTCATATCAAAACGATGGTTAAACGAAAACAGGTACCTTTTTCACCGACATTCCTTTTCCCGGCTTCCAAAGTGTGAACATCGTCTCTTTAAGATTCGGGAATTTGACATTTCGATCTGTCAGCACCTGGCCGATCACTGGGAAACCCGTCGCCGCCACCTCCGCCAAACATCCTTCAACCTCACCTTCATTGAGATTTAACTCTTCCTTCTCATCACCGATCGCCATCTGCTTGTAACGATCAACAAAGCTTTCCATATGCCTCCTTCATTCCTCCGCCGATGTCACCGCTACTGAGAACAACTCAGGAAGGATCACACTATCGACAACTTGGCTATCGGAACTCCCTGCACCTGGTTTCGTCGTACCTTCCCAAACTTCTGCAAAGCCCGACTAATAAACCGAGACCACCACCTTCTCCACCAATCTGAATCACCTATTGACCAGACCTTCAACAACCACCTGAGACAACCAATCAACTAGCCCTTCGATAAGCTCGAAGGCGGACAAACCAAGGCTAAGGGTTATCGGCCGATAACCCTAGAGAGAAAAATCATTCTAAATTTGTTAAAACCTAAAATTAGGTAAACAATAAATTACTCAAATTAGCGGATTATGTTAGCGGGTTGCTAATAGCGGATTCAATTAGCGGGCTTGACCAGCGGAATAAAATTGGCGGGTTTTCAGAAGATGTTTGGTAATTTAGCTGTTTGGTTACAAAATTAATACAAAACGCCATTTTTCAAAACGCTAATCCAAAACTCTCCTATTTGCCGCGTTTTCATTTCAGCGGTTCCGTCCAAAAACGCTGGTGCCGAACAGCTATTTATCAAACATCGTTTTCACTCATCGAAATCGCCAAAAATGGTCATACCGCCATTTTTGGCTGAAACGTCATTTACCAAACACCCCCATTGACCGATCAAAAGGTGAAATGAAAATCGAAGCAACAATAATGTATAAATACGATAGTATTACGGAGTACTGTCAACCTCGCACAAACATAGGGATATAAGAAACTGACACACTTTTATAAAAATGTGAGTTTATGTGGTTGATATTGAATTAATAAATTAAAAAAATAAGAATGCTTTAGAGATACACAAACTTTATCAATTTTGTATGAGACAGTCTTAATATGACTTTCCGAAAAAGAAAAAAAGGACAATCTTAACAAGAGGGAGTATGTGAACACGTTCTATTGCAACAATTACCTTTTTAATATGTCACAAATAACTAGGGCTGAGCAAAACCCGAACCGACCCGCAAAACCCGAAGTTTTTTTCGGATATTATCCGAACCGAAATGGATATCCGACCCGAAAAACCCGAAACCGAAAATCCGATTAGTATTGGGCCTAGATCGGGTGGCGGGTAGGGTTTGTAAAATCCCAACCCGACCCGCCCGAATATCCGAAATATATTAAATAATTTAGTGTGTACTTTGAATATGTTAAATTAATACTTGTGTTCAATTATTTGTGTAATTATTTATGCAATTTGTGTTAAATTATTTTTGTAATTTGAATGTGTAGTGCACTAGTGTGTACATTTTTTTGTCAAAGTGACATTCCAACACTTTAATTATCTAATTATAATGTGTTTTAATATAACCGAAATATTCGAAATATATTAAATTATGTAGTGTGTACTTTGAATATGTTAAATTAATACTTGTGTTCAATTATTTGTGTAATTATTTATGCAATTTGTATTAAATTAGTTGCGTAATTTGAATGTTTAGTGCATTAGCTTGTAGAATTTTTGTCAAAGTGGCATTCAAACACTTTAATTATCCAATTTTTTTAATATAACCGAAATATCCGAAACCCGATCCGATATCCGATAATATCCGACTTACAAATATCCGAAAACCCGATTTGAAATATCAAAGGGTCGGACCTAGTATTTAACTTAAAAAACCCGAACGGGTTTAGGGTACGCAGACCCGACCCGCCCGAACCCGACCCGTGCTCAGCCCTACAAATAACATCTCAACATCTACGCACATTTCTGGGCTTTCTATCACATCTTGGTTCCTTTGATTGTTCAACAACACCAATATTATTACAATAAATATTTAATATACTACTCTCGTTTGGAAATATGTTCATTTTATTGAGGAACTTATATATCCAAACTCCCACCTTAATTGATGGAGTTATGGGACAAGGCCTAGAGCCTAATCAGCCCAAGCCCCGAACTTGGACCCGTGGATCCAGGTCCACAACCTGGAGCTTGCCTACCACCCCAACGGGGAGCCTGCCAGTCCGGCCGACCTGCCAGCCAGGAAAAGTAACGGTCAAACAATTAATGCGTTGTTTAATTCCGTATTAATGTTGTAATTAATTAGTCATTATTATCGATAGCGGTTACGATTTGTCTACGCCTATAAAAGGCAAGTTGTAATTCAGTTTAGGGGGGCTTTTCCCAACTAATAATCCTCTTCTTAGTTTTTCCGTGATCAATGAATAGATTAAGCTTTCTTGCTGGAATTATATTCCAACATTGGTGCTTTCATTGAGAGCTTGATCAATAATCTAGTTAGATCCTCTTGAGAAATACACAAATTCATCACGAACACAAAAGAAATACATCAACACAGTTCGGGAAATCCAAAAACGGATCACAATTTCGGGATTTCAGAATTTCAGATCTGGATTGCAAAAAAAAAAGGAGGAAAGATCAATCCCAAAATTCGGAAGAAAAAGAAATCTGGAATTTTGGAGATCTGAGCCAGTTGTGTGGTCGCTGTCCGGACCGCCGCCAGTCGGAGCATCTATTAGTACCCCCAACCGGCGCTAGAGGTATGCCAGCTGCTGCCACCCAAGCTCAAAGTCTCGCCCGATGCTGGAGGGCCGCAACTCGCCACTTCTCCCTGATCCTCAGCTGCCTCCGTTCTTCACCAATGTACCAGGGTGGGGGTCTAATCTGCTAGCCACTGCCTTGCTCTCTCACGCCATCATTCTGCGCACCGGCCGCCAGCCACGGCAGAGGAAGTCAAAGCAGAAGACTCGCCGCAAACAGAAATTGAAACCAAATTTTAGTTCCCACCTGTCTGTCTCCTAGTCCAAGCGACCGACGATTTTCCCCGATGACAAAGGGCAGCAGCGGAACCCAAGGCACCTCTCCCCTCTCATATCGCTATACTGACCGAGGGCCAACCCAGCGGCTGCCATATCTGAAAGGTCAAAAGTAGCAAACAAAGCGGAAGGCTCTCTCTAGCAACAATAGTACAGCAAACTGAGATAGTGACGGAGGGAGAAGGAAGGGTTCTTGGAGGCTCTGGATAAGATTACTAGGGAATTTTGATCAGGTCAAAATTGGCATAGAGAGTCCAAATCTGACTTCCTAAAGCTCAACCTGGCCGAGCCCTTATTTTGAAAGATAAGCACTCTTGGAATCTCTTCTACTCCGTATATGATTAAATATTAAGTATTTAATTAAAAAAAAAAGTCGACTTGAAAAGAA